GTTGCTGCATCTGAACAACTTGGACTTACAGGAGAACCAACAATTCAACCCGTCCCCAATGTAAACAACATCTTCGGAATATTATTTCTAGAAAAATTACCTGCTGATGCCATAAGTGTTGCTGTTGTTGTTGCTGCTGCTGCTGAATCTGCTGACTAGATCCTTGTGGATACACTGGGTACTGAGTTGGTACACCAGGCATTCCAGCCTGACTTGTGGGATAGTTGGGACCAGGTGGATATCCGGCATGACCCATCATCTGCATTCCACTTGGCTAAAATTCGAAAAATAAGCTTGAATGCAACTGAGAAGGAAACACTTTCAAAAAACTGACCGCCATTGCAGCAGGATGCATCATACGCTGCTCATTGTAATATTGCTGTTGCTGCTGTTGAGCTTGGACTGCCGCATTTTGTTGCTGTTGTTGCTGTTGTGCTGCGGCAGCCGCAGCGGCCATCTCGGCTTCTTTCTGTTGCTGCTTTTTCGTTGGCTTCCTTTTCTTTTTAGGAGGAGGAGCCTGGACTGCTTCCTGAACCATTTGCGAATAAGTAATCAATTTAATGTTTCCATTACCACTTTTATCCGTTTCTGTAGAATATGTTGTTTCCCAAAACTGAGTAAAAACGCGCACACAAATCGAAAAACTAAAGCTTCACCTCGACAGGAGGCCCTCGGAATTGCCCTGGCACCACAGGATTTGCAGTCGGCATGCTACCTGGCTTCATGTGGGCAGGGTAGCTCTGCATACGCTGTTGTTGCACATTGACTGGAACCTGCTGAGGCTGCTGCGGTTGACCACCAAACATTCCAGGGTTTTGTGGCTGACCAGCATACCCCTAAAAATTGTCAAATAAGTAAATGAAAAGTCAATCATCCCATTCCCATCAGAAATCCCATCGAAAACTCACCATTGGTGGTCTCTGCTGCTGCACTTGTGCTTGTTGTACAGGAGTAGCAGGATTGTAGAAACCACCAGGTGTAAGGGGAGCTTGCTGAGGTTGGCCAGGTACCGGATGTTGTTGTTGTTGCTGCTGCTGTTGCGCTTGAGCAGCCGCCACTGCAGCAGCATGAGCTTGTTGTTGCTGCATCATCATTCTTTGACGGTGTTCCATTTGCATCTGGAAAGAAGTGCGCTAGAAATTCGATCCTCAAATGAGATCCTCAAAATTAGGGATTTTCGATGACTAACAAATCCTTGAATTGGATATGTATAAGACAAAGGGACTATGAATCTTTTTTGAGTTGCCATAAAAGAAGAGACTTGGAGAGATCCAGTCATTCACTTTTCTGACACAAATATGCAGGGAGGCGCATATTACGAAAATGACAGTGTCCGCAGAAGTTCTTCAATTTATTTATATCTTATTCGTTTATATTCCTCTACTGCAGCATTTCTCATATTCTATGTAAGCATAATACAAATCAACGAAGACGCTTCACGGATCTGTGGATTTATCCAGAAGCTATCATTGCCTTACATCTACACAGCGTTTCGGCACGCCTCTCTAGAAGCTTATCAAAGTAAATGAAATCTGGAGTCTACATCACCAGTCGAAAGTTTGAAAAATGGGAAACCCTTCTAAGAAAGGCGGATGTGAAACCACCAGCTTACATCGGCGAGCCGCTTTCACGGGTTATGTCACTACTTTCCCATCAATTGGAAACCGTTCAGTTTGCTTGAGGTCAGAAATGTTATCGATGATGTAATAATTTGAAATCGGTTCGAGTGATTTGCTTTGAAGCGCTCGAGATCCGAAAGCTCGCTCCTGGAACCGGGGATTCGAGAGTCTAGCGAGACCTCACTGGGCAGGTTTTCAGAGAAAATGTTCGAATATAGCTTCCTAATGCCCTCACTTCGATTTTATTGTTTACTAAGTCATTATTCAGAATCATCAGCTATTCAAAGCTGTGACGCCCAGCTTATAAAATGTGATTGCACCAACATATTATATGCTAGACTAAGAAAAGAATAGACAAAAGTATAAGGATGGTGAGGGCACGCGTAACAACAGTTACCGAGAAATAAATAATAGAATTGAAAATATTCGCTTTACAGTCTCTTGTGAGCTGATTCCGCTGATCTAGGAAGGTAGCGTGTACTAATCTGCCTACTTTAATTATGTGATGTTTAGCTGGTCTCGAAGCTTCTCGTAGGGTAGCGAGACATTTGGTCTCGAATAAATCATGAATTGGTTTCCACTTTTTTAGGCTCCGAAGAAGGCGAAACCGCCGAAACGTTAGCCGCCGGAATCATATTATCAACCTCGTGTTTTGTTAAGTCAAATAAACTTATACTATAACTATGCCGAGGTTCATCGAGAGTCGATCATGGAGACTAAAAGCAGTGTCATTCTCAACGAGGTACTGA